CTTGCCTAGTTACTTCCGAAGGTACTTTCTTGTCTCTCGCTCCTCTCGATGACTAGATGGGGGCTTTGTCCTTCAGACTGGGATCGTTCGGTGTGCAACCCGAGTGATGCAGCTTGCCAGTGCCATACTCCTGAAGGTATTGCCGGAGTATGCGCCAGCATCGGCCTCGAGAACGCCGCGGGTGCACTGGCTGCAGTCATGTCAGAAGTTGTGTTCCGTAGCCTCTTTCATTTCGGTTTCTCGATAGGCATTTCGGTGCGGTGAAGTACATCTTCGCTGTTGGCATATTGGCGGCTGGTCAAGCGAGTACTCTCACCGGTGAGTATTGCTGTTGTTAGATGTTCTCTCGAATGCCCTTTGCAGGTACTTTGGCTGGCCAATACGTGATGGAAGGATTCATGAGGTGGAAGATTCCAATGTGGTTCCGTGTGCTCATCACTAGAACGATCGCACTAGGACCGGCCCTAGCATTCGCTATCCTGCAGGTATATTTGTTCACGATCGGAACTTATGGTCACTACGTAGTTTTAGGGTGAAATCAGAGCCATGAATGGAGTCAACGCGTGGTTGAACATTCTTCAGTCGATTCAGCTTCCGTTCGCTTTGTTGCCAGTGCTGCACTTCTCGATGAGCCGTGAAGTGTTGGGAAGGTGGGGCTCTTTCGATAGGATGCCTGTCTTCCCACTTACGTGGTAGATTCGTCATCGGCCGCTTCTGGACAGCCGTAATGTGGATTCTTGCGTGCCTAGTAATTGGTGTCAACTTCTATCTGGTTATTGAGACTATCATCCCTCTGAATTGGCCATGGTGAGAGTCTTCTTCTGACACCTCGAGCAGCAGGTCCTCTACAGGTACGTTTGGGCAATCCTCGCCATCGTGGCATGCCTCTATCTTTGGCTGTGCATTTCTTGTGTCAAGGAAGATCTGATGGGTGCCGCTAGGAAGGTTTTCGGTCGATGTGCTGCTTCCATAGAAGTATCGTGAAGTATCCTCCATATGCTTTTGTTGACTAGATTTGCGTCTTATTCAGTCAAGACTTTTCGTATCCGGTATTCACTGTGTCCAATCTACTTTTGTTTTGTACATATCTTGGCGTACGTCATGCGGATCGCAAAAACTGCCTCGTCTTATGAAGTTCGGATCTTAGGTCGAGCGTGTTGGGATATGTCATCGTCGACCACTGACTTGAAGTCAAGTTCAGTGAGTGTGTTATCATTCGAATAGAATTTTCCTCCTACGAAGTATCGACAGTGATGCTCCGGTTCTATCGCCCGGAGGATCATTTAGTACGTTTTCTGACACTCGTAGTCGATCTCTACTTCTTTGACGGTTCGCTTTTGAGGATTTTACAAGCGAGAACGGTTCACTTCGAGTGACCTGTCGCGTTCATCGAGTATCGAAAGTGTCCATCCCGACAAGATAACCTCACAGTCGTAGAACTCGACTATCATGCAGGGACACCTCAGAGTCCGAGGCTCAGACATTTGCGTTCGCATAAGATTGACGCCATGATGCAAATGAGACAATTGGGCAAATAGGGAAAAAGGAGCGCCTCTATCAAGTAATTGGCTCATCTAAGTGTTGATAGAAGATTGCTTCACGAATTGCCGCTGTTTTATGAGGTATTTTTCATCATTGATCGCTTAGAAGTTCCGTAGGAAACTCTGCGCTGTCACACTAATCTGCCATGACCACATTGTGCGAATTTTTATGATGATACTGGAATGGGTGATTAAATGTTATATTTATCATGCGCAGCGTGACGATATTAGAAAACATAGGGGGACTAGCTCAAATGGTAGAGCGCTCGCTTAGCAAGCGAGAGGCACCGGGATCGATGCCCGGGTTCTCCAGTTCTTATGCGTTTCTCTGGATGAGTTTTGCAGTTCATCCTGTCATCGACAAGTGGATGTTCACCAAAATGGACTTTTCGGGTGTAACGATACATGAGTGAGGGAACAATCTAGCTCAACTCAGTAGCGAAGGTCATGTTCGCCACTGCGTCGCCCACGGTGATGGTGTGCAACGGCGCGAATTTGTCGAAGGAGTATCACATGTCTATCCGTAGTTTCATAACTTCATCATCGTC